TGCTGAACACTGATTGTTGTCATTTGGATCTACATCCCAAGTGATTTGATGTCTGAGCCTTTTTTCCATGCTTTGTTAATTTCTGCATATAAACTGGAAGGGACCTTGACACCAATCATGTTCTTGCAAACACCTGATATGACATTTTCCCATTGACCTCTATCTAAGAGAAGACAAAATTTGAGACCTACCTACTTATGAAACTCATGTCCCAGCAGGTCTGACACCCACTGAGGGGCCCAGTGATAAGTCCAAACATACAAAACACCGGGCTTCCACAGGAATGCTCACCTAACTTTTGGCACATTTATCTTTATGGTCACAACATGTCACGTGGACTCCTAAGTTGTTTGTTAATAACTTTGTTTCCTGATAACCTGCAATAACTTTAAAGATCCCAGTAACTTCATATAAACATGATGGGATTGTTCGTGGTAGCTACTTTAAATTGTTGAGGACATTTAGGAACCTGTGAATAGGAGCATCAATCAGGACTGCAGTTTGCACTTTGCATTTCGCGTTTGAGCATTCGGTCCCCGTTTAGACTTGGTATTAAAATGCATCTCAGTGATCCAAACACCAGTGGACAGCTGAGACACATCACTCTTCACATCTGTCAATATAGAACATGTCTCCATGATGCCCAGCTGACCACTTGTATTCAGATTTTGCTACTGCCACAACACCATTTCTTTTGTCTATTTTTGATGCGCTTTCACCAAAGCAACCATTGATGATGTATTCGCATTGCACTGATGATTTACTTTCCTTGAACAGCCTAGTCGGAGACAAATCAGGATGCATTACCTACTACAAAAGATACGTGGTCTAATGAGTCCCAAGGCACCACAGCAGGTGGTCATTCAAACTTGTATTTTGCACTGTCCCCTTGTGATCCCATTGCCCAGGATGCATTTTAAAACTAAGCCTAAACAGGATCTTTGTTATAGCCAATTTATTGAGCATGAATTAATGATACTCCACATTCATGTCCATATAACTAAAGTACTGTTGATGTCATTTCCTGTAGGCAGGTGGGCCTTGTGGTGAAACTACCCTATCTACCAATCTACTGCTTAAAACACTGGCCTACACAACTTACAGACTGCTTGTAACCACTGTTCTATATTGTCAGCTAGGAAATCAAGAAAAAGAAAAATTAAACTCCCAGTTTTATTAGGAGGAAACTTTGACGGAGCACTTACTTGGAGGCTGATCAAGGGCGACGATCAGCGCCTGAAGTGCATAAAGTGCTTGCAGCTGTCGCTCAGTGTCTGAGTTAAGGTACTTGAGTAATACAGGCAATCTCCTCTGAATGATGGCCGTGTCCACTCGACAGTTGGTGTTATCATCTATGCAGTAAAGCAGGAGGCAGAGTGAGTGCATGCTGAGGCACTCGGCTCAGAGTTTGGCACAGTGTAAATATTGCAATCAGCGGTGTGATTTCAGCAGAACAGGGTGTCTCTTCCAGGTGGTGGGGTGCTTACCTTTCACTGCTGCCTTACACACAGCTGTCATCAAAGCCCTCAGGAAGGGAGACGAGCTCATCTGAGATTCATCTAGGTTCGCCTTGGAAATGGAGCACAGAGGAGGAAAACACACAGTCTGTCAGTTTCACATGTATCATCTTAGCAGTGATGCCGCCGACAAACAGGAGACACTTTGAATAGGAATAAACAAACTTGTAACACATGACCAAGTAGTGAAAGAAGCAGCATGTTTATGTCAGGGTATATGAATGGGAGTGGAGCTTCAAGGCAGACCCCCTCCTCAGACAGCTGTGCATGCAATGCAACAGCGGTTCCCACTGGTTTCCTTTTGCTCTGTGTAGTTTGTTCTGGGTGCTGTCATCTGCCCAAACACTTCGACATCAACCGCAACAACCTCTTATTATCCTCTGTTAACCACCATATCATTAAACAGCTTGTCCAAGTGGATGACCTGTGGAGTCTGTGTCCAATTAGTTCAGTCATTCAGGTAGTATAATACCAGGACAAACTGAGCTAGTCCACTTGATTGCATCGTACTTAGATGGGATTGTTTGTGCTCCTGGACAAACTGGACACAGTTTGTCAGTTTATACTGTTTGGTTTAAAAGCCACAATATGTGACTAAAGGTAGCACTAACATGAAACTCCAAATCAGTCCACTCTGCTCTGCCCATCACTCCCTCTCTTTGCTCCACTATGTTCAGCTACATTCCGCCACGCCCTGCCCAGCTCTTCAAAAATTTGTCTTTATGTAATTACAGTGAGGAACAGAAGTATTTGAACACCCTGCAATTTTGCAACTTCTCCCACTTAGAAATCATGGAGAGGTCTGAAATTCACATTGTAGGTGCATTCCCACTCTGAGAGACAGAATT